TGCAGTGTAACACGTGAAACTTTCGTCATCTGTGATTTATGTGTTTACCTTTTACAAATATGCAGAATGGTGAATATCATCAGCTTTTTTTACCCTGATCACTAACAAAAGATTTTATAAAGCTACTAAGGATTAATAACGTAGGGTATTTGCAGGTTTTCAATGAAAAAGCCTTTTCTCTAGGTAAGCGCCCTACTTGGTTTTACCTTATGGTGTTTTTCTTCAGCATGTAAATGCTTCCACCAAAGGACATGGGCTGATTTCTCCACGCATTAGAAAATGTTGTATGCAGACAGGTGATACTCTGTGTAATACTGTGTGTGTAACATTAATACAACATAGTAACAAACAGGGCCTTTTATACCACTCCAGTACATCTAGAGAATTTAGCAGCTTGTTGAGGAATCCACATCAAGTTGTTTTTAGGACTTGACTCAAATGTTGTGATTTCATTTGATGTCTGGTAGCTCTGATGTCACACAAAGTAACTAGAATACTTTTAACTGTATTTCAAAATGTGAGTAGTGGTTTTCTTCCTTATGTTCTTCAAGGTGCCTTGGGGAATGCCTTTCAGCTTTAAGCTGGTTCAGTCTTAGGGGCCAGGAAACTGAAAGAAGGGAAGAGAAGCTGGAACTCATTGGGGTTGCCCCTTCTCCATCCCTTTGGGTTGAGCATTGTTAGTCTGGGCTTGGAGCAACAGGAAGAAAAGGAAGAGGAAGCACTGGCAACCCTTCTTAGCAGAGGTGGTGCAGTACCCAGGAGAGTGAGACTCATTGGAAGGGAGCTTTGCTTTGCAGGCGCTTTGGGGAGCAGCTGGTATTTGAACAGCTACTTTGAGAAGTTGGGTCAAATGACGTAGAACATGATCATGATGGTGCTGTTTGTGAAATGCTAAAACGGTGTCCATAAACAGTGCACACCTATATACACGTTTTAAAGTTAAGTTTCTTCCTTGTCACTGTTGGGCATCTTGCTATAAAAAGAAGATTGCAACAAATGAGTCCAGATTTCAGCAACATCCTGAAGTCTCAGGATAGTGCTGGAGCATCTGCCTATCTGTAAATGCTTCACTGACCTAGGACCAGTTGCGAAAAAAATCCTCAAGCTTGGTGATGTTCCAGAAACCAGAACATACTGTAATTTTGTAGCTCATGTTGGAAGAGAAGTGTGACAGGAGATACGCAGAAGTTGCAAACTGCAGTGGCTTAGTTCATGGTGTCTAATATGGTCCTAATTAAAGTTGTATTCTAGCAGAAGCTTGTCTAGTCAAGCAGAGATTCTAGTTCCTGTGCACCTTTCTCCCAGTGGAACAAACAGACTAAGTGCAATTAGCAATAAATAGATTACTGAACAATGGCTAGAAATGTTCAGTTTGCAATGTGGAAGCATGTTTCCATGCCGTGCAAGCAGGTGGCATCTGTGGAGCTGGCACCTGAACCCTCTCAGAGGCTGGGACTTAGCTGTTTGTGAACATTTGCATATGTGATCATGGGAGAGTCTCCTGAATTGAGGGGGTATTTTTTTCATAAGGAACTATCTGGAAGGAAGTATGTGTTGCATGATGGAACTCTTGATTCAGTCCGAACGGACAGCAGCTTTTCAATCTCGGGCACAGGATCCTGGGAGACCCATCATGGTAACTATCCTACATGACTGGTCAGTGTGCTTGTTTGGGCTGTCTCTTTACATACAGTTTGTAATATCATTATTGGTATTATCATAGGGTATCATTATTTTATAATACATTACTGAAAGGGCCTATTGAAAAGCTAAGCATAGTTGGTGTAAATACTTTTAAATAAAATCTAGGGAATAGTTTAAGTTATGCAAAGCTTGGCCATTTTAAAGAGAGGTATGAGTCTTTTGATGAATAGGAAATGTGTTAGGAAATTCTGATTAATTATTAATCTATTGAAAAAGGAGCTAGAAAGATTAATATTTTATATCACAGAGATATATTTATATAAAATAATTTTGTAGTTGTTAGTTAGCTGGTTACAGTATGGCTTCAAACAGTCTACAGAAACAAGTGAATTCTCCTTTATCTCAAATATAATTAGCCATTTAAATGTCTTAGGTCAATTTATTAACACTTTATTCATCAGGGTGTAACTTTTATTAGGCTTTATTGCTATCAGAAATTATATCCTACGCAAATACAATAGAGATTTAAATGTTCTGTAGAATGAGCCAATGCTTCCTGACTTTATTGCACAGTATTGTAATGAACCTTGACCAGCTGTAGATTTGATAAGTGTAAAATATTACTGCTTGCTGCTAATTTTGTTCCTTTTTAATGACTGATAATCCATGTCGATTTAGTGTGATAGTCACAATCCAATACTGTTTTCCTGCTATAAATGTGATTGTAACAGGAGCTATTAAGTGTGTCTGCATAATAAAATTAGTCAGGGAAGCTCTGTATATTGTTTCCAGGTCTTTGGATTTTCATTATAGTAGTGGAACTTGTTAGACTGTAAAAGCTGATGGTTGCCAGCTCAGACAGGCTCTTTTCTACTTCTCTGCCAAGCAAAGGGTAATGATGCTGCACTAAGAAGTCTGTTCTCACTGTTCTGGAACATTCTTCATACATAAACATAGGGTATCATTTTGGGGAGAGTGTGAAAGGTGTCATAGGGGCTGAAGAGAGGAAATTCATCTGGCAGCAAAGTATTACTACTGTGTGGAGACAAACTTGGCGGCTGTCTGTCGAGCTGGTAGAGGCGGTCATGACATCTCTCAATAATCCTGCAACACTGATAAATCAAATGATCATATTCCTCAGGATGCCAAAGTGTATGACAGGATCCTAGGGAGGAAGGCTAGCAGAGCCTCTCCTTTCCTGTAACACTCTCTCCAGCAGTGTACTGCACCTCTAGATACTGAACTCTTGCATTAGAGTAACTGTAGCAAACACATCCTTGAGACTTGCTTTTGGTCTTGTTTGATCTTACCCAGTCTGAAGACCTCTGTTTTAGTTCTTGGGCTTCTAGGTTTGAAGCGGACATACTTATATAAGAATGGATGAAATCCCAACTGTGAGAATAATCCACAAGCAGATGCAGCAGCTTAATGTAGATATTTTAAATTTATTTATTTATTTTAGTGAATAGTTCTGTGATCTCTACTGGTACCTTGGCAGAATAGTAACAAAGAGCTGTACACTGAGCTGGGCTGACCATTGGGGAAGAACAAGAAATACTTTTGCACATACTCCGCGATAGTTTGCTAAACATTGGCTTAGCAGTTTACAGGGGGTAATTTATAACTTTACACTCACAGAATAATACTTCATAGCTTTCAATACAAGGTAGGAGTAAATCTAAGGATTTGTAACCTCCTACATTATTTATTTCCAGTAGTTCCCCCAGCACTTGGAAAAGCTCCCCAAGTAAAAGAGAACGTAAAAAGCGAGCTGACAAATGTAACTGTTTTAGCCTCAATTTATTGTAGCATCTTTGCATTTTGGCTGCACAGTAGAAGCTGAGGCCCTTCTGACTTGGAGTTTATTCTTACAGGGAGCTTTGAATAATGCAGATGACATATAGTCTTGATATATGAGGGAGCATTCAGATGTTCTTCCCATATGCCAGCAATTTCTGTGATGGCTTTCAATGCATAGTGTAACACAACAAAACCGTGATATTAATTTAGGATCAGCCTTTCTGCAGAGATCTTCAGGCTGTTGGTAGGGATGAGATATACTCCTTTGTGGAGGACTTCTCAACTATTTCTAGGATTCAAAGGGGTTTCTGCTTTGCTGGCTCAATTCTCTGTCCAGCACTACTGGAATGAGGCTCTGTGCTGCAGTTTGGGGGAATTCTGGCTCCTACAGGGCTGCTTCGTGCTGGAGGACAAAACGCAGAGAGCCTAGTCAACATGTAAGTAGGCACCTGAAATCTGGCTAGCATCAGTGGGAGGTGAAGAAGGTAGTCAGTGTCCCTGCACATTAGTGCACCTATCTCTAATGGGGCTATTTCATCAGCATTCCTAGGGGACTTTGTGTGAGAAGTCCAGTAACTGGCTCCTTTATGCCTCTAGAGCAAAACGTATTTTGAGTGGGGAAGAGACATTCCCTCTGCTCAACGCCATGAAGAAAAGGGTCATAGTCACTTCACCAGTTTATAACCAGTTCAAGTAAGCGGAATAATTTCCTAGTGCCCTGTTCAATTCTTTGCCAGATGAAGATGTCCCATATAGATTTAACTCTGGTCTTTTGCTCTAGCTCAGCAAGAACACTAATACAAAAGGTATTCCTTGCAAATAAACACTGGACAGACACAAAGAAACACTGTGTAAAACCTAAGCCATGCAATGAGCTTCAGAAAGATTGGATCCACAGATGTGCTGACTGAAGTTTAAGAGGCAACTTAACAGATGTACAAAGCTGTAGATCAGAGGGGATATAAAACAGTTAAACTTGCTTAAAGGCACAATGTGTCACAATCTAACGATTACATGCATCCTAAGCCCGACAGAAGAGGGAACATACGCTCAGCTATGTGCTCTTGGCTGTAGGCATGCCAAGAAGATTATAAAAATGCCATGCTGTGATATGTTGCCCTCCTGCCTGAAAGGCTACCATTAAGCTGCTTATTTACTGCACCTATTCAGGCAGCAGTGCGGTTCAGAGTGCTACCTGTCTTCTCGTTGGATAAATTAGTTGTGGATATCACAGGATTATTGCTGCCTATTGTCAGTCTGGTGAAGGTGGGAAGAGATGAAAGACACTGATCTGACCTTGTAATGTTTTGTGTAAAATAAGAGGTGCTTTTTCTTCATAGTGAGTGTCACAGTTGATCTTGGTAGGACTGATTGTGATAGCAAGTTTGGAGCTAAATTAAAAAGCCTAACATACTAATGAAGGCAAAAATTTTGTCTCGGTCATATATATATATCTCTCTATCTATATATATATAAAGGGAGGAAGATGGAGGGGGCAAGGATATGGAGGTGTGGAGGGAAGTGTGTGTCACTAGAGCTTTGTACTCTCTTTCCAGCTTTGTAAATCAGCACTGTTTGAAATGAAAGCTTCAAGAGGACATGCAGGAAAACTTGGCCACCCCCTCAACTCAACACAGGTTTTTATAGAAATTGTTTTGCCCTCATATTTTTCTGATATCTGGAGCTGTGAACTTTAAATTAGTGATAACAGCAATTGACAAGTACAGCATTAAAAACTAAACCATGCAGCCCTACAGGCTTAATTATGAAGTGAGCAGGAGGGTAGACACAGAAAATCCTGTCTCAAAATTTTACCTCACATAATATAAATAAAAGATTATGTCTTCCACTGGTAGGCTATAGATCAAAAAGATAATATGAAATGACTGCCCTGTGTTTATTTTGCCTTTATTATGTGTATACATAAACTATACATTTCTCATTTTCTTCTTTTTCAGCTATACACAGAGACACTTAGATATAGATATAACTATTTATATGTAGCTATAAACGAGTATCTGTCATTGTTTTTACATGTTCATAAATCATTAGAAAGACACTTTTTCGTTGTAAAAATGTAAAAATAGAAAATATTGTTGGGAAGCATTCTAATTGCTAATATGGTGAGTTTAAATGACAAATAATGTGATTGGAACTGATTTTGGAAATGGTGACTCTGAAGATAAGGGTGTTTTAGATGATCACTAAGTATGAGACACTAGTAATGACAGTGTTCATTGCACAGGTGTAATCATGTCATAATACAGCCACGTATCTTCAACACTCGGGTACTAGTTGTGCTGAACTAGTTGTGTGAGTTTTGTTGCTGTTTTAAACAATCTCTCCTTGTTAAGCTTGGACAAGGCATCAGAAGAGGGTTTTCTGTTTCCTGAGGAACCATGACTAACTCGAACCATTTTACATGGCTTCAGTGCAGCACATGATTGTCCATAGGTTGAATTTTAGTGGCAGCAGTCAATAAGTATGTTTTTGTTGCTGGTTACACCAAAACATGCCTATAGGCCGTGTCAGGATATCTGATGTGAAGACTGGAAATGGTCTGAATTTCCAGCTAAACATTTTTTATTACTGGCAAAAAAAGGAGGAGTAAAGAATGTGACAGAGACAGGCACAACTTTCTCTTTCTTTCATTGAGCTACTTGATGGTTTACAAATGCCAGTACAAAACCCTCCAGAACAGCAGCTGATGCACAGCCAATGCATCTTGTCACATTAAAAGGGGCTTTCTCGTGGCAGGAAATTAGGCTCACAGGAGGAGTCGAGAAATACACCACCTTTTATTAAGCGCTCATGAAAACTAAACTTTGCTATTTTTCCTTGTTGCATCTTGGAATATGCAGTGCCCTTAATGATGGGATTGTCAGGAGAGTGTCAGGCTGTAATATGCAGCATTGTTCTAACAACATAGTGCCCTGCTTCCTTATTTACTTGCCCATAACTTAGGAGCATTTCATACAATGCTTAAGTTTGTGCAAGTAGCCCTGCAAGCACCAGTCAGACGATGGCTGAAGCTGAGCTTGTCTGATCCTGGCTTACAGCACTGAGCCCTCTTGGAGGGGTATTTTAACTGGCAATTATTGTATTTGATTATGATCAATCAGGATGAAAATTGACTTGACTCCTTAAAGTCTAAGTCTCTTTATATCATTATTAGCCCTGCATTTTCTTCTTTGTCCCTCCCTCTCAGGCAGCCTCCACCACATGCATTTGCTGGATAACGATAGCCCTTCGGAGAAATGTCTGTCCTGGTTTTGCTAACAGCCCTAAAATGAATTTAGTACAGAAAACTGTCATGGTTCAAACCCAGCTGGTAACTCAGAACCAAGCAGCCACTTGCTCACTCCCTTCTTCCCCCCAGCTCCCAGGGGGATGGAGAGGAAAATTGAAAGAATGTAAGTTCCATGGGCTGAGACCAGAACAGTCCAGGAACTAGGGTATAACACAAACCACTGCTGCTACCACCAATAACCATAATGATAAGGGAAATAACAAGGGGAGAGAATACAATTGCTCATGTGCCGACTGATACTCAGCCAGATGAGAGCAGCAATCTGGGCCTTCTAGGTAACTCCCCCCAGTATATATACTGGGCATGACGTGCTGTGGTATGGAATACCCCTTTGGCTAGCTCAGGTCAGGTGTCCTGTCTCTGCTTCCTCCCAGCTTCCTGTGCCCCTCCTTACTGGCAGAGCATGAGACTGAAAAGTCCTTGATCAGAGTAAACATTTTTAGCAACAACTAAATACATCAGTGTGTTATCAGCACTGTTCTCAGGCTAAAGCTGAAAACAAAGCACTGCACCAGCTACTGAGAAGGAGAAAAATAACTGTTACAGCTGAACCCAGGACAGTATCCACCCCTTATTCCATATGATTCACCTCATGCTCAGATCCTATATATTTCAGTGTACCATCACTTTTTGTTTCATATATACATATATATATCTGTATCTCCACACAGAAAGATATCATTCCTTAGTCCATGGACCATCCCTATACAGTTGCTGGATTCATTCAGTCCATGTTGTCAGGCTCTATCTCTTGTAACAGTCTTTCAAGGGAGGAGGGACTCTGTACAGTATTGGATTGTTGCCTGCTGACGACACCACTGAACTTGTCTGGTCACTGCTGAGCTCATCTGGTTTCATCATTCTTTGTTGGGATGATGGTTGGAGGGAAACCAGGGCCAGTCAGTGGTGACCTGAAGACAGTTCTGCCGCTGTCAGCTTTTCCCATGACTTTATTCTCCACTGATGATCATGACAGCATATATCTTTTCAAAATCTAGAATGGCAGAGGTGAGCATCTAGCTGATGTGCTATAAAAGTGCTACGTAGCAGGCAACAGCATATAATTGAGTTCATTGGCTGTTTTCCCCCAAAATTAAATCCCCTTGAGGTACATGTTGGACTCCCTCATCTTCCCGCATGACCCACCAAGTATATCTGGGTCCCTGAGCAAAAGCAGTCCCACGAGTGGGTTTGCCTTTACCTGAAGCAGGAATAACCCAGACTGTCTTCCCCAGCAAATTGTTTACGTGCACCACAGGAGCTCTATCCCCCTCTATGGTACGTAACAGTTCTTATTGGGCTGGGCCAGCCCTATTGGCAGATCCCTTGGTGTTGACTGTACTGCAGGCTGAAATTGGCAACATAAGGGTGAGTTAGTTTTAGCCCGGTGGGCCCATGACACCTCAGGCCATCAAGGCAGAGATGCAGCATATAGATGGGCTCATGATCAGGGGGTGGGCTTAACAATGGACACTATTGCCCAGGTTATTATAAAAACATGGTATTGTTTTAATTTGTCATTTTCCATTATGTTTGGAGTTGCTAATCTTTCCAAGATGTGTAAGATTAATGTTGCTTTGTCATGGTAATACATGAGGATCAGAAAAAGAAGCAGCAGCAAAAGTGCCAACTGTAATGACCTTTATTCCTGCAAACACTGCTGGTCTGGAGCTGACACCAGTGCCTGTTACATGCTGGCACAGACAGATAGGGGTATCCCCTCCTGTCTGGAGTGCAATGGTGCCTTCTCTCTGCAGTTGCTGTTCTTCCCCAGTCTTTAATCTTTGGGGAGGATGATGTGGGAATAAGCACAGCTACATCACAGCAGATATCCCACTTGTCTCTATGGTAATAGGACTCCGCAGCCAAGTTATTAATTCCCTAAACCAGCTGCTGTGCACCAGGCCTGCTTTGTGTGGACTGAAATGATGATACAGTTGTGAAAGCAGCTCATGTCACTTGTTCAGCTGCTCCAGGTAGAAGGCTTCTAAGCACTGCTGTATAGCTTGAATGCAGTTCAGAAATTCATGAAGTCTGCTTGTTTCATGACAATGAATGAACAGTGCATAAATAAATCTCTGGAAATGATAAGATTTGACTTGCAGCAGTACAGCTGTGTCTTTAGGCGTCACAGCTTTTCTTCTTTTGGAAACTATGAATTTAAGGAGGTTATTTGGCTTAAATAAAAAGGAACAAAAGTCACAAAGAAGGTGGCATATGCACTTGTGTTATCTCTCATGGAAAGACCTAAATCACTGCATTTGCAATTAATGGTAATCACTGGCAAATCTGCCTTAAATGTGTAATTAATCCTAAGCATGTAAGTAGTCTGACTGATGTAAATGGAACTGCTCAGGCACTCATGCACCCACATGCACAAAATTAGTCAGGCACTTGGCTTCTCCAATAGGGCTGAGTGGAAATGCAGAACTCTTCTGCTAAATTGCCATGGGCTCAAGAGAATCCTGCAGTTTAATTATCTTCAACCAGGGTTAAAGAGGAATGGAAATACCCTTTTGTGCCAGAGAAATCCATCCAGATGTCATTTGTAACGGCAGGAATGACTAACTCAAGGGAGCAAGCAGAGGTGAGGTTTTGTTGCATGGCAGTTACTTGTAAAGCCAAACTAGGGTATTAGTGGAAGTCCAGGGTAGTCAGCTCAGGAGGAGGATGAGATTGTTCATTCAGATTTAGAGATGTCTTTCTGTTGGAAAGTGTGGAGGGGAAAATTACCAAGGTCACATCAGTGAGAGTGGGAATCATTTGGGGAGACTTTGAGTACTGTGACACTAGCAGGAAAGATTTAAGTAGACTTCTCATGTGTATTAGTTGCCTGTGTCATCAATTGGATGTGCATCCCCAGAATAAAGGGTAGTGGAAATGGGGAAGGGTGGAAGAAGTCCCAGAGCTTTATAGACTAGAACAAAGGTAGAACTGGATCCTGTGAAAAACCAGGTTAATGGGTGAGCAGAAGGGTTAGGAAGCGTGGCTGGAAGTATTGCAGCACCGAGTCCCAAACCTGCTAAATAAATTGCGAGAGCACAGATGCCAGCATTCTTTGTTTATTGTAACTGACTGAGGAAAATGCTTTCAGAAAGAAGGATATACTTGTTAAGGGGAAATAGTGATCAGCAATTAAAAACTAATTAAGAGAATTGGAATTTGGTGTTGGTTTGGTTCCTGTAACCTCCACAAAAGACATTTGGGATATTTAGGTCTTACAGAATCCAGAGGGTACCTGCAGTTGTTTACAACAGCGTTACTTTGTCCTGCTTTGTGTTAACCAGTATTTGGCTCAGTCCTGGGCCATAACCATTTTTCCATTGC